GTCAATAAAACACAAGTAAACCTCTTTCTGGTATTCTTTGCCTTGAGCCAAGATCCATCTGACAACAGCTATGATATCCCTTGTTCCACGTCCTCTAAGTTGATAGCTGGTGTCTCTGATTTCTGAATCTTCAATATGGATTCCCTTAGTGTGATGGAAAAAAACCACAACAGATTAAAATGTGATGTTCTGAATGGATCATGTTGTATGGGAATGACAAATATTCATTCTCCTAAGGGCCACTGCCATTGTTGTTAGGCGCCATCAAGTCAGTTCAGCCTCATAGCAACCATGCCTACAACAGAATGAAGCACTGCTCCCCAGTCCCGAGCCATCCCCACGACTGTTGTATGTTTGAGCCCATTGTTGCAACTACTGTGTCACTCCATCTCCATGAGGATCTTCCTCTTTTTCACTGACCCTATGCCAAGCCTGATGTTCTGTTCTGCTTCCCTAGTGCTGCTCTGAAAAGAATAGACCACAAAATGGGATGGCCTTAACAAACAGGAGTTTATTCTTACAATTTGTAGGCTTTGAGTCTGAGTTCAGAGTGCTGGGCTCTAGGGGCTGGGTGAAAGCCCCTCAACCTTTTGGGCTTCAGCTTTGCCTCCTGCTCCCAGCCCACTGGAGCTAGAGGCTTTTCTTCACTCAGACAGCTGCTAGCTGCTGAGACAGACAAGCCCAAGATTGACAAATAAAAGGCACAGTCTCGATGTTACCAAACCACACAGCAGGCCATTAACTCAAGTCCAGTGAAAGTCCCAAGGTCAGCAGAGCATGGCAGGCTGCTGAACAATGACATGGCTACATGTAGGGTTCAAGTGTGCCATAAGCTAGAGACTGTTCCCAAAGCTGTTTCTTATGTACAGGAAGCAGAGTTCATACCCAAAGGCAGCTACTCAGCTGCTCCCAGTAGATTCCACCATGGAGTTGATTACCAGTCTCATCATGGGGAATACTACATCCAGCTGCCCAGCCACTCAACCAGGCCCAGGCAAGTTGACACACAAACTGAACTACCACACGTTCTTCTCCAGGAACGGGTCCCTCCTAATAACATGGCCAAAGTATGTGAGATGAAGTCTCACCATCTTTATTTATAAGGGCCACTAGCCTGCAGTTTTTAAAGAAAACCATCAAGGGTCATTCACAAGGAAAAGTGAAAAACAGTTACATAAAAGGACCAAGTTGTCTCTCTTAAATAAGAAATGAGTCACAATTTTTACATTATTTTAAAAACAAGTATTTTAAAATACAAAAGCATGCCACTTTAGCTTGGAGGACTGTTAGCAATGATCTTGTTACAATCTGTAATATTTCAGATGAATTTCACTTCAAAGAGATAAATATTTGTTTTTTTTCCCAATACAGTCACATGGCTTGGCAGGACAGAGACTTTTTCAAACCTCTTATTTTTCTGACTCACAGCTCTTTATTGGGTTTTATAAAGTTGCTAAGTTTTCCTTTCTTCTGCCAAGGAAACTCTTACCAACCATGCCCTGAGTGAGATGCTGCAGTCACTGTAGGGTAAAGGAGGTCTGGAGGTCTGTGCTAGAAATATTCTTTAGTTAGTGACTGACACTACAGGGTAGAGTAATTCTCTGGGTTCCAATCCAGATTGCGCCACTTTCTAGCTGTGGAACTTGGGCAAGTTCATCTCTCCATTTCCACACTTCCATCCTCATGAGGATACTGATACTATTTACTATTTAGAGTTGTTGCCACACAGCTAGATTAATGTCTAGCCCATTGTAAGCTGGAACTGTTAGAATGATTGTTGCTCAATACTCAGTTTTATGTAGAATGATATAATAAAAATCCCTTTATGAACTTCCATGTGTGGCATTAAAAGGTAGCTTTTATCTTTGTCCTTCGATTACCATGTGCTTCTTGATTCCATATCTCATTCTTGGCATTTTGCAGAGGTAAGCAAATGCTCAGAAAGCTAGTGGGTTACCTTCCCCGAGGAAGGCAATCAGAAACAGCCCCTTGGCCAAGGGTTGCTCTGTGGAGACTTCTTTGTTTTTCATTACCTAAAATGAATCATCTCTCCTTGCTTAGACTTTATGAAACTACGTTCTGTTAGCATCAAACATCCCGAAGGTTTCTAGGTAACCCACTGCCATTGAGTCAGTTCCAACTCATAGCGAACCCCATTGGGTTTCCAAGGCAGTAAATCTTTACAGAGGTAGATTCCCCGTGTTTCTTCTACAGAGTGGCTGGTAGGTTTGAACTGCCAGTCTTCTGGTTAGCAGTCAAATGTCTTACACATTCCACCACCAGAACTCCTTATATTAACTTTAGAGTAGTGGAAAGGAAACACAGGCTATGGAGAACACAGTATTTGGCCACAGGAGTCTTTTGACTAGTTTTAGTAGTAAAGCTCTCCTCTTACAGAGAAAGAAACTAAAGGCCAAAGATGAAAGCATCTTGTCTGTTTGGTTTACATTGTTACTATCATCATCATCTGTATCTCTCTTGTTTACTTACTTTGCTTTGCCTTAGTGCAAAATGGATTTGAAGCAGCTTAAGGAAAGTACATGCACAAAATAGTCAGTGAGGGACTCTACTGAGGAAAGGGGGATTGGTGCAGGGACAAAATGATCGAGGGAAACAATTTTGGAAAAAACGCATGATGATAAAGTTCTGTGTATGTTCCTGGTTCCTAGCAGCTCACAGAAAGGGGCAAAGGTGATGTGATTCATTGAGTTGATAAGTTAAACAACTTATCATTGCTTATCACCAGTCATCATCATTGAAACAACTTAGCATAGACCATTGCTGAGGAAGAGGCATAGCCAGTTCTGATGTGGAGGCTGAGAGAATTTCCCTCTGGATTGTTAAACATTTTTATTAATACCTCTTTGATACAGTGTTCTTATACTTAGAGATTTAGAGCACTGGATTCTGCACAACATGCTATGTTTACTTAGAAATGTTGTTAGTTGCTGTCAGGTCGAGTCTGATGCGTGGTGACCCCACGTGTGCAAAGCAGAACTGCCCACAGTGTTTTCAGGGCCGTGACCTTTTGGAAGCAGATCACTAGGCCGGTCTTCCTAGACACCCCTGGGTGGGTTCAAACCTCCAGCGTTTCATTTAATAATCGAGCACTTAACTATGAGACAGAAATAAAAGACTTCAAGTCATACTACCACTGATTAACAACATAAGTGGTCCAAGGGCATAGTTTTGTCAGAAATATCAATATCAAATCTAGAAATTACTAAAGGCAATTTTGCAAGTCCCATAAAGCAATGTTTTGCAAACTGCAGATCATTGTAAGTCATAAGATTAACACAGCTGTAGCAAAACAGAAAATATCAGAGTAAGAGTTTCTGTGTATTTATGGTTGTACTCTGTTATACTGTAAAATGTATTTTTTTATTGGAGGTTGGGATTGGAAAAAAAAAAAAAAAAGGTGGAACTGCCATTAAAGTTTACAGAGGGTACAGAGGAGCCTTGGATTGAGGGTCGGCTTCTGGGGAGTCAGGAGCAGTAGGGAAACCCCAAGAAAATGGCACGCATTGGAAGCTGGGGGCGGCTTAAAGACTGAGCAGAGCAGCGGCCCTAGCCTAGGAGGAACAGTGTTGTTCCTCCTGAGCACGGGCTCCAAAAGCAGCATGTCTGGAAAATGAAGACAGTCATGACCATTGAGGAGGAGGCACTGTGGAGTCCATGTTTGAAACATCAAAGTCACACCCTGAAAAGCGTGGAAATGGTCATGAAAGACTGGACTCATAGCGACCCTATAAGACAGAGTAGAACTGGCCCTTAGGGTTTACAAGACTGTAAGTCTTCACAAAAGCAGACTGCCACATCTTTCTCCTGCAGAGTGGATGGGTTCTATCCAAGCACTTAACTTCTGCACCACCAGGGTTCTAATATTTTGGATATCTTGAGTTAAATAAAATAAGTTAGTAAATTAATTTCCCTGTTTTCGTTTTTCTTTTCTAACGTGGTTACTAGAGAATTTAAACTTACCTGTATGCCTTGTTTTTGTGGCTCACATTAAACCTCTGTTGAATAAATGGTGCCTTTAGACCTTCCTTACGCTATCTCTGAAGTGCCTCTTAAAGGGCTATTTATTTCGTGATTGCTGTTAACCCCTCCTTTCCAAATTCTCTCGACTGCTTCCCAGTCCTTGAAATTCCTTTTAGAAAAGAATTATTGTTTTCACTTAATGATGAAATTCAAATACTCAGTTTGAGCTTATGCTTTAGTGGGAATAGACTTTTTCCCATAACTGTCTGTCATTCAAGTTAATAACTGATCAGACTTTCCCTGGTTGTTTGGATAAAGAGAATGGAAAGTGGGCTTCAGGTTTCCCAAGTCTGGAGAGTGGATCCCAGCACAAAAATGGCAAGACTCACATGACAGATGATGTTGGTGTCTGCCTTTCTGTGTCTCTCAGGCTGCTCCATGGGGACAGCCCTGCTGCTGATGGATTCTTGACTTTGAAAAAAAAAAGAAGTTTAATTTCAGATTATGCTTGTTCCCTAGAGATTTGATCATTGCAGTGTTTCTATAATTGACATTTTCTTTTTTCCTGTGCTAAATTTGGCTCTCCATTTTGATTATTAGGAAGGATTCCCCAACTTCAGATTTCTACCTCCTTTCAAATCCCTGACCCCAGGACACAGTAGAGGGTGTGGAAGGCTCTGAGATCATGCCGAGGGTTTCAGTACCCACTCCTGCTCCACAGGGTGACTGACTGTGCGTCTCCTTGCTTTTTTCCAAAGACTCTATATCTCAGACTCAACAATCGGGATTGAGTAAAGGAAAATACAAATGTAATGTTTCCTAGGGTTCTGCCTTTTGAAAGGAAAATAATCATAGTGTGTGATGATTGAAAGATGGTTTGAAACAGAGGATGAAGTTTCTGAGCCGTTTAAACTGTTAATGAGAATCAGTGTGGTTCTTCCAACCGGCAAAAGCATATGAATTTTTCTTCTCCCTGTGCTTTCCCCCAATAGGAGTTGCTCTGAAACCTACCGCATGCCAGTGATGGAGTACAAAATGAATGAAGGGGTTTCCTACGAATTCAAGTTTCCTTTCCGAAATAACAACAAATGGCAGAGGAATGCCAATAAGGGGTCTCATTCACCTCAAGTCCCATCCCAGGTGCAGAGTCCTGTGACCTCACGGCTGAATGCTGGGAAGGGAGACGGGAAGATGCCACCTCCCGAAAGAGCCGCCAACATTCCTCGAAGCATCTCCAGTGACGGGCGCCCCCTGGAGAGGCGGTGAGTGTGCCCTTGAAAAGTTGGCTCTGAATCCGTGCCCAAAATGAATTAAAACCAGACCCATAAGCACTCGCTTTAGGCCTTCCCATATTTTACTAGAAATCAACGCATACATTTGTGGCTTTCAAAGCATGGTAGGATTCCAAAGCCATCGAATAAAGGGGGACATATTCCAGGAAAGCATTCAGCTCTGTGCAGTGGTGTTTGTGCTTTGCTCTTAAGCTACCATATGGTGTCAGCAGAAATCATCACTGCACACTTAGCAGCCATGGGAACCAGGACTGGGCAAACTCTTTGAGGTGGCAGTGACCATATTATCACCTTGACGGTCTGTCTTTTTGGGAAAAGTGATGTTATTGTAACAACTGAACGTCTTTGGTTGAATAACTGTGTTTGTGTCACTTTGGTGGTGAAGAATGGTGGAGAAAGGAAAACAACTAATACAGCACACATATTTTTTCCCCACTGCTCTGAAAGTCAAAGAAAACAGTGGGGAGAAGGTGTTACACAGGGATATGTTAAAACATTCAACCCTGAGTAAAATTAGCAAATGGGAAAAGGGTGGAGGGAACCTAGAATGTAAGAAACCCAGGATCTGTTAGTAAATTGAAAGTCATAGTGGAATCCTTTGCAAATGATAAGTGGTTAAGTAACTCTGCATTTATAAGCATGTGCTACACATCTTTTTTTGGAATTCACTGTAAAGTACAGTGCAGCACTTTGAGCTAGAGTCCAGGTATGTATTTGGCTGGGCAAGGCTAATAGACCTTTTGTGTTTATTAACCTTGGCTTGTATTGTACTGGGTAAACCTGCTGCAAAAGACCTTTTAAAAGTGGCAAGGAGCAAAGATGTCACTTTGAAAACTAAGGTGCATTAATCCAAACCATGGTATTTTCAATCGCCTCTTATGCGTGTGAACGGACAATGAATAAGGAAGACCAAAAAGTTGATGCCTTTGGGTTGTGATATTCACAAAGAATACTGAAAATACCATGAACTGCTATCTTAGAAGTGCAGCCACAGTGCCCCTTAGAAGCAAAGAATGGCCAGACTTCATCTCACCTTCTTTGGTCATGTTGTCAGAAGGCACCAGTCCCTGGAGAACGATGTCACGCTTGGTGAAGTAAAACCAAAACAAACTCACTGCCATCGAGACGGATTTGACTCATAGCGACCCTTCTTGGGTTTCTGAGGCAGTATCTCTACAGAAGTAGATTGGCCAACCTTCCTTCCAAGGAGTGGCTGGTGGATTTGAACCACTAGCCTTCTGGTTAGCAGTCAAATGCCTTAGGCACTACACCACCAGAGCTCCTTGGTAATGTAAAGGGTCAGCAAAAATGAGGAAGACTCTCAACAAGACGGATTGATCCAGTGGCTGCAACAGTGGGCTCAGGCACAGCAAGGAGTGTGAGGATAACGCAGGACCAGGCCAGGTTGCACTCTGTTGTACACAGGGTCACTGTGAGTCGGAGCTGATTGGACAGCACCAAACGACAACCACCACCTTGCTCTTGGTTCCAACCCTTCCCCCTGTAACTCTCTGTTTACAGGAGCTCTATGTAAACTAGATTAAGTACTTTTACGATATGAATTAAAAATTGATTGTAAGGTTTTTTGTTTAATTGAACTGTATGTTTACTGTTGTTAGTTTCCCTCGAGTCGGTTCTGACTCACAGAGACCCCATGTGTGCAGAGTAGAACTGCTGCATCCTTTTCCGTGGCTGTGACCTTCCGGAAGCAGATTGCCAGACTTGTCGTCCAGCGTGCGTCAGGGTGGCCTCGAGCAGCCAGCCTTCTGTGTTTGAGTGCTCAACCATTTGCGCCACCCTGGGACTCCATCCACTCTTGGTTAGCCCAGAGTACCTAAGCGAATGGAGGGGACAGTTGAATTGAGTAGCTTGCTAGTCACCTGCTAGAAGAAGCCAACTTCTCTCTGCCCATCCCCTGTCCTTTCCCCGTCATTTTTGCTTGTCTTGATGTGTCTCAGAATGTTTTTGTGGCCTCCTCACTGGAAGTCCTGAAAGATGGGAGAGGCTCTGTTCCAGGAGCTGTGTTGGATAGAAGGAAGATTCCTCTCGAAGCCAAAATGTGACCCTAATTCATCAGAGCAGCAGGAGCAAGGTGCCAAGAAGAAATGGTTCCCAGATGATACAAGTAAATAGTCTTTGGTTCCACTTGGGAGCAGAGAGCTAGATGTTTTTAAAACTTCACTAGAATCTTTCATCTTAATCTAACTTTTAAGCTGTTGGATAAAGCATTGTCACTTAACTGTTTCAGAATACTAATACCATTTAGAAGTAATTTAATAAAAACAAACAACCCCCCTCGCCTCCTGCAAAAAAAAAAAAAAAGAAAAGAAAAGCAAAAAAGCAGTTGTCTTCCTAAAATTCCTCATTGAATCCCAGATATTTATTTACAGAGCCTTGCTATTTATCTCAATAAAAGATTCCTCTTCCAAAGTGGCCACATTCCCATCTGGAGCCCCATAGCTTTCGTTATTTTTGAGGAAGGAAACATCCAAGAGATCTGAATAAATTCTTTGTTCTACACATTCCAAACTTGGCCCTTTCAGAGGTGTGTGTGAACTCACATTCATGGTTTGGCCCACATTTTGGAAGATGAACTTGTTTAGAGAAGGAATTTTTTTTCCCTCCCCTCTTAGCGCTATTTTTTTTCACTCTGGAACAGTCAGCAGGCTTTCACAAGGGAAATTGTTTTCGTGTTATTTCCGTTATTCAGTATTCCATATAATAAAATAGCAGAATGTGTCTCTATGCCGTGTTGACTTTAATTTCTGCAACGGAAACTAAAGCTTGCTGCTGAAAATAGTGACCTCCAAAAGTGAAAATATCTTTGTAGCTAATTACCATCTTTGTATGCGAACAGCTTTCAGAGCTAGAGAATGCAGAGCCCTATTTTTCCAGATGGAACTCCTTGAGTTTTAGGGATTATTTCTTGGACGTGTACTTGTCCCTGCCTTTCGTCTTAACTCCACACAGAGGAAAGTGCATCTAAGTAAATGCTCACTGTATAAGACTCTTAAGAGTAGCCCTGTGGGTCTCTTAGCAATACAGATGAAAGAGCAGAGATGAAGCTACCAATGAATTTCTGGGAGATTTGACCTCTACTCAGTGCCATCTGAGGCCTCTCAGTTTCAGCTATTCTTTTAGGATACTGGGCTGGAATTTCAGATCTTGTGATAGAGGATGCCATAGTTTCTAGGGCTGCCGTAACAAAATACTATAAGGAGGGTGGCTTTAAAGAACAGACATTGATTTTCTCATAGTTGTGGAAGCCAGGAGTCTGGATTCAGTGTGCTGCTGTGTCTGTTGTAGGGGAAGGTCCTTTCTTGTCTCTTTCAGCTTCTGGTAGCCCTGGGCATTTTTTTAGCATCCCTTGCCTTGTAGATCGATCCTCCTTTAGTGCCTTCCCCCTGTCTGTGACTCTATTTCCTTGTCTTTTCTCTTCTTTTATGAAATACTACTCAGAAGGGATTAGGTTTAGAATGCTCCCTGCTCTGGCATGACATAATGATCATATCTTCAAAAAAAGGCTCTGTTTTCCAAAACAAGGTCACATTCACGGGTACGGGGTTAGGACTTGAACATATCTTTTAGAGGACATGATTCCTTCTGTAACAGAGTTAAGTGACTTGCCCTTATATTTTCAGAATATTAGAGTTGTTTCATTCAATTTGGAGTCTTGTTTGTGAACTATGTGATAATTAGATGGATCTTCTGTGAAATTTTAGAGCCCAGTTTCCTATCCTATCATTCCTAATTTTTAGTTACACAGCACTTTCTTCTTTAACTATTGAGTCAGAAATAGAAGTACTATCTGAGCATTTTGGTTTGCTATAATTTCTGGAATATTTGAGTATTACAGAGACTCATGACATTCATCAGAAATATCTCATGGGTATCTACATTCTTAAAGTTCCCCTGCAGTATTTCCTCCATAAAATGTACTGAAATATAAGTAGGTAAAAAAATAAGTATTCCCTTCATACCAACTTTCTGAGATATGGAAGTGGGGCATGGCGAGGGCATGCCTTGTCCATTTGACACTCCCCTGCATACCAGCATTGTCTTGTTTGCCATTTATATTTGTACCTGGGCCATTTATAAGATATGATATGAACCCTTGAGATGGAATTGCAAACAGGAAAGTAAATGCCCAGGGTCTTAATATCTTGAATCTTGCCTTATTAATAATGATGCAAGCCTAATATTGAGACTAAAATATTGCTTTGGTGGTTATTTCATACTATTTTCCCCAAAATTTTAACAAGTCTTTAACTGTAGGAAAACAAGCCACATTTCAGCTTAACTTAGCAGCCATATCCAGTCCACTCTGGCCATGCTACAGAAATCTTCACTTACCACATTTGGATCCAGCATGGTTCGTTCTGGATGGAAACGTTAGTTTGCTGCTTATAGAAGCACAGTTCTTCTTGAACTACAGGGAGTCACCAAATTTAAATGTCATTAAGAGCAATTTTTTAAAAAAATACATTTGCAAAATAGATTATTGTTTTCCTGTAATATCAAGGTCAAGATTTTTATGACATACTAAACTATGCTGGTGTCTAAATTCCTAACAACAATTTTAGCTAGGTGACGTTCTCTATACATTAAGAGAAACTGATCCATTTGGCTTCTAAATAAAATGAAGTCTAATTTTGTTCAAATATATGAGCTCTCTGTTTCAACTGTGAAACACGCTCTGCAGGTAGCTTTTTGAGTACACAATTTTATTGTGCTTATGAGTACACAATTTTATTGTAGTGTTTATTAACAGAATTAGTATTTATTGAGCCATAAATAGGTAATATGGCACAGTCACTATTTTTGCTTCAAATTTATCTAGAGTTTAAAATAACAGGCTATAGCACATTGAATTTGACACAATACTCTTAAACATAACGTAAGATCAGTAATAAAAACCTATCTGTGTTAATATGCTTGAAAAACTTAGCAATTCCGGGTACTTTGCATGA